CTCTTATATAACTAACCAATCTCTAAACTGCACTAAGGATCATCGCTGCAATGATCTAAACATTCTGTAAGTGTCTAATAGGTATCATAATTCAACTTAAGTTTCTCATACAGTAGGGGTCATGGATTCGAATCATGAGGGACGCAACAAAAAGCCATGAGATGTAAAATAGGCACACGCCCTCTTAAAGTGGAAAATATGTACGTTAACGAGTTGGGTACAAAGAGATTAAAAAATTACCAAAAAAAAAAAAAAAAATTCTGTGTAAAATAGGCTCAACCTCTCACGAGTCCCAAATCGTTACAATCACCCTGCCAAAAGATTCATCATTTGATTTGATTTTTCTTTTGGAATGCCCAAGTACTTATTGTCTTCAAGATTTGAAAAAGAAATTTAAAGAATTGTACGATAACATGATATAAAATTAAATAGAATAAGAATAATAGATAAGAAGAAAAAATAAAGAGTCAAAACTCGTCTCTTTAGTTATAATAATGGACATACATATAGTTTAAATGAGAATTACAAATTGATCATGATATAGATTCATGTAAGCAAAATAATTATCTAGGAAAAAGTTGATGAAATGAATGATTAAAAGTTGATAAAAAGTGGTTCTATCAAATATGTGGTTAGAAATGAATACGAGAAAAAAAGAGTTACAATAAAAACGAGTTAAACAGGTGCTAAATAGTTATTCATCATCCTCTAATCGTTTTACAGTAGTTTTAATAGTATTCATTAGATTAATAATCCCTTGTTTGATTTTGATAAAAATCAAATTTTAATAAATTTCTTATAAAAATCAATAAAAGTTATGGATTTCATAAAATATGTGATGAAAAATGATTTAAGAAAAAATAATTTTTAAGAAATGGAAGAGCAAAATAACATCAAAACAAGACTTAAGATCCCAAGGCTTGGTATCGGTAATAATTAGATATAGCATTTCTAAAATTTATATGTAAAAACGTAATCTAAATATTTTTAGTTTTTAAGGTTGGAAGTTGAAACATATGATAAGCACAACTCCTTTCCACATCCAAAACAAATAAATAATAAATAAAGTTTGTTTAGGTGCACACATAGCATTTTTCTTAGTATAATCCCTTGTGAACATCCATGCTAAATAAAAAAATTGACAAGATGTTACAAATGATTATTATTACCTTATAAATTTATAATACACCCCCACATGATTTTAAATAGGTAAAAATTTAAAATTTTCATGATTTATGAAATTCATGTTCAATAATTAAGCAATTGCTTAATGCTCAATTAACAAGTAAAATGATGCAATTGCATTGATCATCCACCTAGTAACTACCCATTTAAATGCTTGTTTGAACTTCATTATAAGTGGCTAAATTTATAATGTGATAGAAATGAGTGCTATGTAGTTAGTAGTGATGGAGATTCAATGAAATATGTTTTTAAAAATAAAATTTGATTTTAATATTTAAATTTAAGGAGATTATAACGGAAGTTAAATAAACTTCAAACCTAATTTTCTAGACTTTCATTAAATTTGGTCAATCTACAATAGTAGGTGTAGATGTACAATGAGCCTAGTCAGTTTGAACTACTCGTACAAGAGAATAACGTAACTCGTTTGGAAATTCAAAGCCCCCGCCTATGCACACTTCTAATTAACCTAACTTTACAACTAAGTGAATGTGATTTAAAAGTATGTTCTAGAGTTGTCCATTAACGATTTAAATTATAAACAGATAAAAATGGTGTTGACTAACTAGATAATATTTATGAATTCTTAAAATACATTGATAAAAAGTAGTTAACTCTAACCAAACATAGGCTTAAATTTTCCCTTTTGTTTGCTCAACTTTTTAGTTTTTTTTTTCCTAAGCTTCCTCTCGACCCCTCCTCAAGCAATGAACAAAAAGAATTTTTAAGATGATATTCTAACACGTGTGAGGAATTAATAATGAACCATTATGTTAATTATTTGTTTGCATTTGCAAGTAATTCAAAGTAATAATTCAAAAAATTCCAATAAAGTTTGTAGTGAAACTTTCTCTTATATTTCACTTATAATATTATATTCTACAATAACTGTTATTTTTGTAAGTGAAAATACAATATGATACACGTTCAAGAACATCAATCTTATGAACTTCTTGAATCTTGTATAATATTGAGTTTTGTAATTCTATATTTACAAGTCAAATATTTTTGATACAAAAGTATACAGTTACCTGAAAATTTATAAATTAATTTGGGACAATTGCATTGGAGGTTTCAAATATTTCAAAAATATGAAGATTACACCCCCAAAGCCTTTAAAACGTAGTAGCGGAGGTTCCAAACTTTTCAAAATCATGTAGTCAAAGAATTTCTTGACGGTTTCTCTTCAGAGGCATGTTAATTGACCAAAAATCTGCATTTCACTATAATAGGATCAATTTTTTATTTTTTTTTAAAGACAAAATGATCTTTTAACATTTATTTAATTAAAAAGGGGAATTTTGCATTGAAGGTTCCAAACCTTTAAGAAATGGGCGTCGAAAGTAACTCTAACTATTTTGATCTAAATATTTGTCATTTGACAAAAAAATTCTCAGTCAAGTCAGCCAATATCACTGCCTCATTTCCTCTACATTTGTTGACCCTATTTTCCCCATCCACATCAACTCCATTTCTTCTTAACAAGAACTTTTGATGAACTAAGAAGAAATAAATAATAATAGATAAATGTCCTTCAAAATCAATAATAGTGGAGGTGACCAAGGCTCCCCCCACCTACGAATTGATGGAGTTGGGTAGTTAGGGATTAGGTATTGGGATTCGATGGATCAAGAAAGCTAAATATTTTTGTTTGACATATTTTTTCATGAAAATCGTTAGTCCTTCTAATTTACCTTTATTAAAGATTTGAGACATTCAAAGCACATTGTTTAAAGATTTAGAATCTCCTCCAAAATTTCCCTATTTATTAATAAAAATTAGAAGACCATTTTACCTTTTTAACTTGGTCAAATTATGGTCAAACACTGACATTTGATCAACTCACGTGTCTCTAGACTGAAACCATTGATAGATACTTCAATTGCACAATTTTGAAAAACTTGAGACCTCTCTGCTACAATTCAAAGTTTTAAGTGCTAATCTGCACATATTTTTTAAAAAAAATTGGAACATTCGTTACAATTATCCCTATTAATTATTATTTTTAGGAAAAATTGCAGTCAAGGTATCAAACTTTTAGTTTATTTGCAGACTTTGCCCAAACCTTTGATTTGTGCCATCGGAAGTGTCAAACCTTTACAAAATTCGCATCCAAAGTCCAGATTGATAGTTTCCATTAGTTTGACACAAAAAATCGTCAGTTGACCTTAAAAATTAAAAAACTAATAATTTTGACCAAGTAAAGCAAGGGTAAAGTTGTAACTAAAATTATAAATAAAAATTATTTAAAAAGGAAAATAAAATAATAATAAAACTCGTCTCTTTCTTCACCCAGTTGCCAACCGCTGGCACCACTGCCTCACCCATAGCTTGACGACAACAATAACATTGGCATACCACAAACAGATTCGGTGCCTCCTATGGTACCTTTTGAGCTCGTTAATATCAGCCACCCACTCCGGAATTTGACACTAGGCTGTGGCCCTAGCCAAATTCCTAGCAATTCGAACATGCTTCTTACCCAAAATATCCCTACTCACCTCCTCCTCCAGCATCTCATCCAACTCCGGGCAAGCACACGGGACCCGTCCAGCCAAAAAATTCGAGCAGACCAATCTCAAGTTCCTCTTCCTCACCCTGGTTGAGTTGCTAGGTTGTTGACTTTGAAGTTGGGGTCACATCGGATCCGTGGATGGGTTGTGGGTTTAAGACGAGGGTTACGTTATCGTCTATGTCCGTCGTTACCACCGCCTCACCCATTGCTTGACCACCACATCCCACCAATCCAAACTCCCATTCATAACTACACCACAATCTGCGACTGTGCATATTATTTCCCAGTCCCATCTTCGCCTAAACCTTCAACATCGCGAGCCACCCGTTCAGTTCATATACAATCCATTCTTTACCCAAACTTGCCGCTATTCTTTATACACAACCTCCGATCTAACTCCATATTGCCAGCGTAGCACCCAAATACCCAGCACGCCCTGTCGTTTTCTTTTGTTTTGAAGAAGAAGATGGGGTTTTATTATATTTTATTTTCCTTTTTAAATAAATTTTATTTATTTTTTATATTAAAATTATAAAGTTACAATTTTACCCTTGCCTTATTTGATCAAAATTATTTAGATTTTTAATTTTTGTGGCCAACTAACGATTTTTGGAGTCAAACTTACAGAAACCGTTAATCTGGACTTCGGGTTCGAATTTTGGCTTATCCGCGATTACTAGCGATTCCAACTTCATGTTCCCGAGGACCCATCCGAGCGATCTTGGCTACCGGTGTCCTCCGATTTAGATTCTAAATCCTACCCTTTCCCTGTGCTCTTTCAATGCTTTGTAAAAATAAGATAAAACGAACTAAGCGTAGAGTTCTTAGCCATCTATATCGCGGGAGAATGGGGCTTTGCCTCCTTTCCCGTCCTAAGTGAGCACTCGCATATAGGAACTAGGTGATCAATCATCCCTGATTGTCGACCCTTTCCTTGAATGCAACGCCTCCCCTCTTTTGAAAACGAAAGAAAGAAAAATAGGAAGATATGTTTTTTGTGCACCTTTCCCAGACCTCTTGAATTCTCTGAACAATTGGAATTTTGTACTTTGTCGGATCCTCCCTATCTCCTGATCGAGCTTATGTAAAGGTTTGGTACCTCCGATGACACAAATCAAATGTTTGGACAAAGTCTGCTAATAAACAAAAGATTTGATACCTAGATTGCAATTTTCCCTTATTTTTATACAACTACACTAGACTTTACCGTTAAGAACACAACAGGTGGACAGTGTTTTTTTATATTTTATTTGTTTTTTTTATTTTTCTTCGTCATAAAGCTTTAGAGTTATAATTGGCTTGATAACTTTTATCGAGCCAGCGCAGCGCTGTTCACACTTCATTAGCTCCCAAGTACTGGAGGACCCTTATGCGAAAAAAAATCGAAAAAGCAAAGGAGAAACCAAAAAACAGCTGACCAGAGAAGCTAATGTTCAAGAAAAAATAAGGGTTTTTTCATGAATTTCAAAACAATGATGAAAACTGAGATGCAGCAAGAGGAGGCATGTGAAAGCAAACAGTCGCTCACACAAACTGGGCAGATTTCAGAAAGCCTGAGTTTGAGTGGTGCTTTAACCAAGGAAGATGAGGAAATGGCAAGATCTGCTCTGTCAACTTTCACGGCTAAGGAAGAGGAGATTCAGAAGAGGAAAATGGAGGTTCAGGAGAGAGTTCTAGCACAGATGGGTCGTATTGAACAAGAAAATAGGCGTTTGGCCACTATCCGTGAGGTATTTTCTTGGGTTATTTTACATTTTTAATGGGGTTTTTTTTTATGGATCTGAACGGAATTAGGAAGAGGGATTTCAGTACTGAATTTTATGGACAAGAAAATGAGATTTTTATGGGGTTTTCATGAACTGTTCTTTTACGTGGAAAAAGGATTTTATTTTTATGCGGTTTATGTTATGGATATGCAAAGATTTCCATAGTATTTTACTGATTTTGTGAGTTAATTTACATGATAGGAGTTTAACTTTGCAATTAGTTTCATTTTTGAAGCATAATTTAGAGGACAGTTTACTTTTTGCAATTTCATATGTCAATTGGTTGTTCTTCATTCATTGTCATCCCAATAGTGAGAGAACTATTTTTGCAAAATTTATCAATTAATAGTCTTCTTGCCGAATCCGGACTTCTTTTAAATGGGATTATCAGATAATTTATCTATTTTTTGAAGGGATAAAAGATGGGTATAGTTTTAGCCCTATAATTAACGGAACAATTAACAATTAACCATTTGAATTATGGATTTCATGTCTTCTGATAGCATGTATTGCTGGGTATCATGTCCTGCTATATGAACATGACTGGCGAAAGCTATAGCTCAATTATCTGATTAATAATTAGTATGCATACCATAAATAAATGGATGAGAAATTTCAGTATCTAAAGCTAATGACTTCTCAATTTGTCACTGGTACTCCCTCGAACGAACTGTAAATTACAATGATCAGGAACTCGAGGCCCTGGCTGATCCAAGGAAGAAGGAAGTTACACTTGTTCAAAAGAAGATTGATGCAGCCAACAAGGAGTTAAAAACCCTTGGACAGAGCTGCCAGAAGAAGGTGAAATATTTCGCCTGATTTTCTTTAATTCGAGACTAATTATTGATGCTTAAACTTCCATTTTCTTTGAAGAAATTAGTTGGATTACTTCTGCCTATTGCTCGAATATATATAGTTGATATGAACCACTCAAAATTTGGAAATTCAATGTTTTATAACAGGAGAGAGAGTACAAAGAAGCTCTTGAGGCTTTCAATGAAAAGAACAAGGAAAAAGTAGATCTGGTTACAAGATTAATGGAGGTAAGTACAAACATATTTTTTGTTTGACAATTTCAAGTGAAACTGCTTATAGCTTGAATAGCTAACCCTTCCCTTGGCAACGTGACAATCTCTATCCTTTGTTTGAGTTATGAGTTCTCCTAAGAGTACTAATATGGGTTTCTCAACTATCACTGTACGAAAAAGCTAATTCTATAGGAAGTTTGAGTTTGTAGTGGAGCTAGAGAAAGAGTTGAATTCGAGTTGGAGTTTTTTATGGAGAACAAACTAGGATTGAAAGAAAGCCTGGCTTTCCCACCCCGCTCTTTCCGACTAAGGAAATGGATTAAGGGGTTGTCCCTTAACCTATAGAGTCCTTACCCCTGAAGCCCCCCAAGGGGGTTTATGGGGAAGACCTTCCTTTTGAGACTTTTTTATTCGAGCTACCAAGATCCAATTCAATTTCTGATGCTGAAATAGTTATTATGGCCCTTTGTAATTTGTATTTGACTTTAAAAATTTGCAGCTTGTTAATGAAAGCGAGGGATTGAGGCTGCAGAAGTTGGAGGAGCTGAGCAAGAACTTAGAAACGGTACGCTTAGCCTAATGTTGACAGCTAATTAATAAGGTTTGTATTCAATGGTTTTCTTATTTGTTCAAATAGCTGTTAATGTAACATTTCCTAAAGCGCAATTTACCCTGTAATATAGGTTTTGCCGCTATAAAACTGGTCTTAACTTTAAATTCCACCTCCCCCACCCCGTGCCTTTATATTGTGTTATAGTCTAGGAAGAATGTCTTCTAATTTCCGGACAAAGTGGTGGTTTTGTTTAACTTAGCAGCATAAGATCAATTCGTGGTGCTGTTTGTTTTGAGTATCATTTTCAGATAACTTAATAAGGGCTTATTTGACAAGACTTTTGAAAAGTCAAAAGTTGCTTCCGAGATTAAGAAATTGCTTTTGAAACAGTTTTTTAGAAATACTTTGTCTGACTAGAATAACTTTTAGAGGAAATTGATCTAAGGTAGTTTCTTCAGTAAGCTCTTCTATAATAAGCAGTAGCCTTCCAAACATGCCCTAAATCATTTCCGGTCAATGCAATTCCTTGACTATTCGTATAATTGATCTTGGAATATTAATTAGGGAATTTTATTTGTTGAACCAACTGTTGTAAAAAGTAAACTTTTAGATGATTTGGTTTAACTTGGTATCAGGACACACATGTCCCATGATCAAAGTTTTTTGGGCCACCCATTTATGTATATTTTACATATTAAGGCCTTTGATTAGGAGTGAATCCACCTTGGATACGAGGGTGCTTGTTGGAAATAGTATATAGTAACTAAATTTTTCTCGTGTCTGACCGCTTAAGCATTTAGGTGAAGTGATGTGGTTTAACATTTACTTAAATGCACTACGGTGAGACTTGAACATTATATATTTGTATGTGATAAAATTATTTCATCCTTCACTTGTACTTATTATTCAACATGCTACTTCCCGTGTAGTTAGATTTATTTTTTCCTGATGTGCAATTTTAATAACTAGATGACATTAGAATTGAACTTGCTAGATTTGTCTTGTGTGATGTCATGTTAAACCACCTCATACAAGAGCTTAAGCTCTTAGACGAGGTGGTTCAACATTCTTCCTCAAAGTTGGTTCTATATCATTTTTCAAGTTACATTTCTCATCTTGTTTAAACTAGTGTTCGTATTGTAACTTTTTTCTAGGCAAGAAAAGATGGTCCTTCTTCAAGTCTTTCCCCAGTATACAAGAAGAAATTGTTGAAAAATTGTTGTTGTTGGAGCCCCAGAGCCATTGAATAGGTTGGATGGAGCCATGAAGTCGTTAAACGTAGAATGAAACTAAATCCTTGTCTAATAGCACAACTATCGTTCTTTTCTGTCTCTCTAGTGATATTTGTTACTGCTCTTGATGGTTTAGATGCGTCGTTCTGTAGTGATATTTGTTACTGCTCTTGATGGTTTAGATGCGTCGTTCTGTATATATCTTTAAGCATTTGGCTTCGACTTTCTGATGCTATACATGTTTTAACACGATTTTTTTACCCATATTACCGTGTTTGGATAAGCTTACTAATCAACTTGTGATTTGTGAAACACAGCTGAAACATTCTGCAATATCTTTCGATTTTATTGCTCATTGTAGCAGTCGGGTTCCAATAGATTGATGTTCATATTAGGCAAAATTCCTCTTTAAATGGATCGACAAAATGTCAAATATATAACATATAAATACAATAAGGTTAATCTTTTAAAATAGAACGTCTGAAGTTGAAAGACATTATTGTCTTAAGGTACGACCATATGAAATTATTCTTAGTGCGTGTTTGGGAGGGCCTTTTGAGAGCTCAAAAGAACTTTTAGAAGATTAGATACACTTTTATATGAAAATGCAGTTGTTTGGTTGCAACTTGAAGAAGTGCTTATTGACATAAATATCACCTTTTTAATCTGTAACGGATAAGCTCCAATTTGGGGCTTGTTTGGGAGCGATTTTTCCCCTTAAAAAAATTGATTTTTTGATCGTTATTTTACTATTCCAATCGTCATATTTGACTTCTTCTCTCACGGGCAGATTCCATTTTTCTCCTACGGTCAAAAATTCAATTTTCAAAATCACTCCCAAATAATAGGCTCTTGGAGCTTTTTGGAAAAGCTTCCCTATTTGAGTTCTATTAATTTCTTGTAATGTATTATGGAATAGTAAATTCATGGTTAAAAAAAGAAGGAAATTTTTTTTATTTGTTGTATAATATTATTTTAATGAAAAATATATGATTGAAAATGAGAACTGTAGGAAAAATAATTGAAAAGAATGGCTCAAACAGGACTTAAATTCTGCTTTTATGGGTAGCTGGAATCTGCATTAATTAGCTTATTAATTTGCAATAAAATACAAAATGTCTAATTTTCTCCTGCCCTGCTTGACAGCCACCTTCCACCAAGAGGGGGCACCAGATGGGGCCCAGGCCAAGCATCTTTATCCTATTTGCTCACTTCTCTTAATTAATATGAGATCTTTCATTTTTAAATTTTATTCATTATTAATTTTCATTTGTTAATGTCCAATAATATAAATGAAAATTCAAAAATGAAGTTAAAACAGGAATTTGAAATGATACAAGAAATATTCCATATAATTACAATAGTTTATATATAAATGTGTCGTATTTTAACTTACGCAAATGAATTTGAGCTAATATTTTAAAAATTTGCTATGCAGTTTAATTAAAATATTTAATTGTTATATAGTAAAGAAATAAGTTAAACAATTTTTTGTAGAATTAATGAATCAAAGTAGTTTTTTGATATGCTGTCAAACTGTTAATTAATGTTCACAATATTTTTTTTATTAATAACCAAACAATCATCAACTTTTTGACAATCTCTCTTTTTGAAAATGCTCTGCTAAAAGTAAAATCTGTATTGATAAAAGTTCGATCCAGAATAATTATGCCAAACACACCTTTAATTAATTAGAGAAAAAAAAATTAATTATCCTAGCCATAGGTTAGGCACGACGACCTTTCCCTGGCAAAATTAACATTCTAATTTATAAATATGCTAACCACTCGACAATGCCCTTCAATTTGTATTTTTTTCTCAACATTTATTTCTTGAGTATTGTTAGACAGGTTAATTCTCTAAATGATCACTGAACCATTTTTTTTTTTTTAATGTTCTCATGGTGTCACCGAAATTAAAAACAATTTCCATTAGTCATTGAACTTTGAAAATTTGTACATCCATCACTGCGTAAATGAGGCTTGCAAAATTGGAAAGATTTGATGACGTGTTTAATGGTGTCGCTTACGTGACTCGTCATTGTAATAAAAAGATATAAAATCACAAAGGTGCAATCTGAGCAGTGTTTTTTGAAAGTGTAATGCATGACGATGAGTGTCGATCAAGTTTCAATTGATGCGTGCCGAGGTGAGGCTTAGGCATAAAAATGCGTAATTTTTTTTCTTATTTTAATATTATTTTAATTTTTTAATCAATTTAAAAATTATTCAACAATACATACATATTATAGTAACATATACAGTTTTTTGAACAATAAACAAGATATATTATAATGGTGCATATTGAAATATTTGGAGAGTTTTTAATTTTTATTAATTAGTAAAAGTTAGGTAAAAGATTAATTAACTTAATAAAATATAGATAACTATTTATACAATACTACAATAAACTAAAGCCAAATTAAAGGTACAATGTATTATAGCCAAATCAAAGGGATTTTTATTCCACGTCGAAAGTTTACTACGAAACTCTTAGAGAAGCCTTCTATAAATTAGTGGACCAATAATAAATGGGTAAACAATTTTTTGGACCTTTTTATCTATTAGCCTAAAAGTTGAAAAATTTATGTAGTGTAAAAAAAATTAAAAAGGTAATAATAATGGGCCTCAAGTTGCCCTTTTGCGAGCCTATGTGCGGCTTAAAGCTGTAAATGGAAGTGTTAGCCGCTAAGTTAGCACATAAGTACTAGGCATGCGTTTTTGCCAAGTCTTGTACTTTGGTGGCGCTTAAGCTTCGCCAAGACACACCTTTTAGAACACTGATCCTAAGTGAAAAAAGTGCTATTGCCCAAAAAATGTTTTAAACCATAAAAAAAGGAAAAAAATAAATAAAAAACAACCAAAAAACCCCAATCTATCCCCAAAATCCCCGAAACCCGCAAACCCTAATCCCCTAAACACACGAAACCGTCATTCTTCCTTCCCTTTTTTCCCAAATCGCAAGAACCCTAATCCTGTTAAAACTTCGCATCCTCAATCAATTGACAAGAGAAATCTAATTGCTACAAATCAAAACTTGAGCAAATCAACCCTAAGATTGTTGAGAATCCTGCTTTTATGTATTACTGAATATTGGAGAAGAAAAAGCATATTATTAATCCAGCAAAATAAGGGTTTATATAGCCTTTACAAAGCAATAAAAATAAATAAACAACCAACATCTCAATAGCTCAGAGAATCGTAGGAGAGGCCAAGAGAAATGTTCAAAGTAAACAACGTGTCCAAAACAATAGGAATTATTCTAAAATGAAGCAACAACCAAATTAATCCTAGCTAACTAATTCAAAATCGTTAAAATATTTCAACATTCTCCCTTAAACCGAATGTTGCTAGCAATCAGTTTTATATCTGACTCTGAATAAACACCTAATGAACTTTGAAACTTTACAAATGCATCTAACTTCAATTGCTTTGTCATCAAGTTTGCAATTTGCTTCTGAGTGCAGTAATGCTTCATCTTCACAGTTCCATCTTTTGTCAGTTCTCGAAGAAAATGGAAACGACCATCAATATATTTGATGCAGCCATGCAGTATTGGATTCATAGAAGGCTTTATGGCTTAACTATTGTTACAAAAAACAATGGTGGATTCACTCTGAACATGACCAAGCTTTTCAAGAATTCTCCTTAACCATACAGTTTGACATGCACAAGATGTCACAACAATGAATTCTACCTCTATGATAGAAAAAAGTGACTACTGGCTATTTCTTTGAGGACCAATACATAGCTCTTGAACTTAATAAAAACACATAACACGAAGTACTTTTTCTGTCCTCTAGATCTCCAGCATAGTCACGTCTATATATGCAATCAACTCTTCATTTTCTCTATTCTAATAGAAAATACCAAACTCAATTGTTCCTTTTAAGTACCTTAATATCTTCTTTGTTGCTGCTAAATGGAGTTCGGTAGGTCTTTCCATATACCTACTAATGAGGTTTATTGAAAACATCAAATCTGGTTAAGTGGCTGTTAAATACATGAGGCTTCAAACAATTTGCTTGTAATAAGTGACATCCATTCTAGCTCCATCCTCATTTTTCTCGAGCTTAAATCCAGGAACATTTGGGTTTTGGGCTGAATGGGAATTAATCATACCACACCTTTCCAAAACTTCCATTGCATACTTCCTTTGGTTAATAAAAATTTAATCAATTTTTTGTGTCACTTCAATGCCAAGAAAGTATCTCATCCTTCCAAGATCAATCATATCAAACTCTAATTTCATAGATTTTTTAAACTCATCCATAATGGACCTATCATCTCCTGTAAGAATGAGATCATTAACATAAAAACACAATTAGAATTTTACCTCCTCTTTTAGTCTTGATGAACAAATTGCATTCATAGTGGCACTTCTCAAAACTTTCTTTCATGAAATAAGATTCAATATAACTATACCAAGCTGATAGAGTTTGCTTAAGTTCAAATAAAGCTTTTTTCAGTTTGTATACCTTTTCCTCATCACCTTTTCGTTCATAGCCTCGAGGTTGCTCCACGAAAACCTCGTCCATGTTTTTTGAGTTGCAAGGGCAGTTATCACACGAATTGTATCTAGTCGAGCCACAGGTGCAAGTACCTCAGGATAGTCCACCTCGTGCTATTGATTGTACCCCTTTGCTACAAGCCGTGCCTTGTATTTATCAACTTCTCCATTCTCATTGAATTTATTTTTGAAAGCTCATTTTAATCCTATCTTCTTTCCTCTTATAGGCAAGTCGGTTAAGTCCTAAGTATCCTTTCTATTGTTTCAATCTCCAAATCCATGGCTTTTCTCCATTTGTCACTCGTCACGACATCATCATATGAAATAGGGTCACTAGCTGCAAACATTACCAAGCGAGCCATATCATTTTCCTCAGAAGGGGGTTCGGAGAGTCTTCATGTAATAATTTAACTGTCCATTCTTATTTTTCTAATTTTGTTTTTGTTTCTGACTAATACAATTTTCATCAGATTCATTCTCGGTCTCACTTTCTCCCTACTCTAAATCAGCAATAATAGTTTCTTCATGCTTCTTTTCCCAGTTTCAAATTTCATCATCCTTGAAAATCACATCTCTGCTTACCAAGATCTTCTGTTAAATTGGATTATATAATCTGCATGCCTTCGACTCCTCAGCAACTCCAAGCAAAATACACTTCAAACTACTATCATTGAGTTTTGTTCTTCTAGCATTAGGAATATGAGCATGACAAATGCATCCAAAAACTCTAAAATACTCCATTGATGACTTAGTTCCACTCTAAGCTTCTCCGGAGCTTTATTCCTTA